CAGATCCACTTTAGTCCAGATCCAGGAGTTTGGTACCTATGGGATGCTAACAGGGATCTTCTTGTTTCCTGTTTTCAGTGATCGACCCTGAAGTAGCGCTGAAAGCTTGCCAGGAAGTTCTGCTCAAGGTCAAACTGCAGAACAGGGAAGTGCCTGAACAGCAACAACTTGACAATAAACAGGACGATCCGCAACAACAACAACAACAACAACAACAACACTACCCTGAAGTAGAGTGCTCCAGTCCACAGTGGCACATCAGCCCGGACACCAGCTCCATCAAAGAAGAAGATGAGGATGAGGAGGAGGGGAAGGATGGAGAGAGACAAGGCGGTACTTCCCAACAGGACCGACGTCCTTCAGCGCGTCCCGAGTCGTCTTTACTGCCGTCGGCGGCGGCGGCGTCGTCATCTAAACAGTCGTGGCTGCTGCGCCTGTTTGAGTCGAAGCTGTTCGACGTCTCCATGGCGATCTCCTACCTGTACAAGTCGAAGGAGCCGGGGGTGCAGGCGTACATCGGGAACCGCCTCTTCAGCTTCCTCGACAGCGAGGTGGACTTCTACCTGCCGCAGCTGCTCAACATGTACGTGCACATGGACACCGAGGTGGGAGACGCCATCAGACCGTACCTGGTGAGTCACCTGATCAGTCTGTATTCAGATCGTTGAAGCTCAGTAGTCCGGTGACACCGATAATCAGTTGAGTCATTCACAACTAAAAGAAGCTAATATCAGCATGTTAATAGCTCCTCCTGTCCATGTTTTCCATTTGGGGTCACTTCTCAGTGTCTCCATGTCTTCTGCTGACCCGTGTGTCGTTTGGTAGGTAAACTGTCTCTGGTGTCTCCAGACTGTTGGGCTCACCTCTAATCAGAGCTCAACAGACATCGGTAGGCCAGAGGCAACTTCACTGATATGGAAGGAGTTATGAAGGAGTTTCGGGTCGGTTAGAGTTAGTTAGTTATAACCCATCAGATGACCTGGTCAGGCTGAACTGCTGTGAGTGATGGATGTGGAAGGAAGAGGTAGATTGGACTGTATCAGATCCACACCCATTCAGAGTAGTATGGATATCGGACTCTGTGGATTGGTTGATGAGTTCAGGGTCTCACACACTCAGCGTGGTGCTGGAGGGATCGGCTCTTTACCTTTACTATAATACTGGGTGGTTCTGATCTGCTGAACGTACGTTATCTCAGGACACTTTTCAAATAGAGCAGGTCTAGACCGAACTCCTTATAACATTTACAGA